AGGAGCAATGAAGTAATTAAGTCATTCAAAAAGAGTCTCTTAAGATAGTGTCAAAAATCGTGTCGCGCTGTCATCTTGCTGATTATAATAAAAAAAAAAAAAAAAAAAGGATGGAAAACAACTTCTATACAATTGTCGTATGCCAGTTGAGTATTGTACAATATAAAATACTTGACCCTTATATGGGAAACAACTGTTTTTGTACACTTCTGATTTAATTTCTGTGTCTTGGGTGTATATTCTTCTGCAATTTTGTTAAAGATCAGATGGCTTTATATATTCTGTGATCAAACTGCTGTAAGGTGAAAGGCAGGAAAAAGAAAAAAATGAGGCAGAAGAAGGAGGAGTTCATGTGCAGAAGCATATGGAAAGCTGTCATCCATGGAGAGCTGTAATACCATGGGAAAAGAACTTCATACTTTCTTAATGTTGACCTAAGTCTATTTGAACTCTAAGTCAGTGTGAAGCACGTTTAAGGATTACTCTGTGATGAAATTGAAATGCTGCAGACTATAAAGATGCAGCCAGCTATATGGCTGCTCACAGTGGTGTATCTAAGGAGAGGAGCTCAAGATGAAGGCTAAGTAAGAAGAAAGATGGGTCTGATGCTATCCAAAACCATTACCTGCTAGGGATTCTCATTTTATTTTTGTGATCTTTATGTTGGCAGTTTAACAAGACTTGAGGGAAGAGATTCAAACTGGCCAGAACTTGCAAGTTTTGTGTTGTTTTTTTTTTTTTTTTTTCCCTGGTGTGTGAATCATCCATCATCTTATTCTGACCCTAAGTGTCTCTTTTCATTGTTAGCAGGAGGTACAGCATAAGTCTGAAGTGATGCTGTGCCTATGTCAGAGGCTGTCTGCCTCTCCAGGATCAGGAGAATAGTGGCCAGGCTTTTTTCTTTCTCGGGCTGAGCTATAAACAGCTCGAGTGATCCTTGTGGAGGTGGAAAGCCCAGAATGAGAAAGGCATAAATAAGGCAGGCTTGTGTAGAAAAACTTAAGAAGAATTGTTTTTCCCTACAGATGAGAACAAGAAGGAGGCCTCTGGGGCTGGGCTAGGAGAGATGATTTTGATTAGATTGTTTTATCAATGTTTCTCTGTTTAAGAAGGAAAGCTGAACTGAGTGAAAAGCCAAGAAACTAAGGCAGTATTATTGACTTCATCCAAAATGGACATGTTGGACTTTGTTCCACCTTTTGCAAGGCTGAGAGTGAGACAGATTTGCAAACTGGTGAGAAACTAAACTGAAAATTTAAAAAAAAAAATAAAAATAAAAAATCTATTGCTGAATAATTTTTGCAAGTCTTCCCAGTATAGTCAGAAGCTAATTACATGAGGTTTTTATAGTAGTAGTAATTGGGAATTCGAACAAAAGGACAGGAATATTTATGTCAAGAGAGAATTGAGCATAAAATGATTTGGATCTGGAAAAATGTATATATGAATAATGATGTATGAGCAATGTCACTAAAGTTAGTATATCTGCTTGAGACTTGGTCAGATGTTTTTGGCCTCTACATATGTTGTGGGATTTGGGGGTAAATCTCCTCTATCAAAGAATTATGAAAAAAAGCAGGCAAGCACATTCAGGGTTAAATGTGAATCTAAGTTAAGGAACACCAGTGGAGTATCACATACGAGGAAGACTTCCATTGATTTATACCTCTTTCTTCTGTATTGGATGTTGTTAGTTATTATTAAGCCATTCATCTGCATCATCACCAAGCCTTTGAGCTCACTGTTAACTTGCTTTGTAAGCATTCAAGAAAAGTAATGCTTGGAACAGAAGGAGAACACTGAATTAACATGACAGATATTTATGGGGAACCACTCCCAACCATGAGAGTCACCGTGAGAGAGAGCATGAATGTATCACTGTGGAAAATGCTGTGGATAAGTGATGGTTCAGCAGTCTGGGGCTGAATGACTGCAGGTAAACACAAAATGGCTGGGAGATGGAGATACATGAATAAAAGGCTTGGAAGTTGTGAAGATAAAGAAAAATCAAAAAAAATCTGGGATGGGGACAGAGTTGATGGAAAAGTAAGGGGTAGGAGCTAAGCCTTGCAGAAAGATTCAGGAACTGTCATCCTAGTAGACTTAATTGATACTTGGAGTTACAGCTCATTAACTACAATGAGTTTCTAATATAACAAACATATGGTGATGAAGCTGTTCACTAAGAAGACAGGGTAATGAGGGAAAGGAAGGGACCTGAATATCAGTGTTGCTTCTCAGAACTAAAGTATGATGGATTTTAACCATAATGTTCACATTATGATATTTTTCAACCCAAGGCACCTAGAAGGCCAGTTACCTAGGAGTGATGGCCACCATGTTCCTAGCCTTGTTGACCACGATCTGAAGTGCAAAGAAAGAAGATTTGTCTATGAAACCAGTGCAGATCCTTTAAAAGCTATAATGAAAGAAGCCAAAAGTGTAACTGGTCTTAACTTTAACAACTCACATTCTGGTGCAGAAAAGCCTTGCAGGGATATACCTACCTGCTAAGCCAACTACTGTGTGAGAGCCTGTATATCCTGTTGATCGAGTCAAGGACTGCAGCCTGAATAATTGCTTGAAATTTTCTGGATACACAATGCCAGTGAGAAGTGCTGCCCTCCTCTTTTAAAAAGTTATTCCTAAGGGGCAGAATCAGAATAGTATTGCAATATAGCAGATGCACATTTGTGGTCGAATGATTCTCCTGAGAAGTCTGTAGCAGTTTTACCACATGCCTGCTTACAGTCAGTACTGCTGCATGTTTTCCCTCTAAAAAGTGATGGCAAAGAGTACAATAGGAGGTAGAAAATGCAGAGAAAGTGTGAAACTTTTTCAAAAATTATTTCCTGCTAAGAATTCTAATGAATTTTAAGTGAAGACCTGTACCAGCTAAGCACATCCCGCATAGCAGGCAAGCTCTGATAGCTTTTAAAGCTCTTCAGACACTCTCTTTTATTATGATGTAACTGTTTGTGTTCCCTATTCAACTAAAAATTATATCCATGTTTCTCCTCGCTGTCCTATTTCCCCTGATATAGGGACTTGGAATCTACATCTTTTCAGAACAATAGGTTCTTTTATACTTTAAAAACCTCCTTGGAGTTGAAAATAAAATCAACAATTTTAGTTTAATGTTTTCTTTCTTCATTACTTATTCTAATAAACTTTCTAGAAAGTTGTCCTTGATTTTTTTTTTATTTTTTTTTATTTTTTTTTTCATTTTTTAAGGTTTTTATTCCAGGCTTCCTGAAGTGTGTATATGTTTGCATTTTTTCATTCTTATGTATTGGAAGATTATCCCCATTAATAATATGGCAAATAGAAGAACTTACAGGAAAATATTCTTATCATATTTTTAGAGTGCAAACTGGTGTTGAGTGCACTGTATAATTAGGTAGTTTTTAAAATACTGGGAAAAGAACCTGAGTCTGAGATGATCCTAATGATGAAAGTGATATTAAATTATAGATTTGTAATGGTGGCCTGGAGATGTTTATTAATTCTACAGAAAATATGTACATAACGTTACGTATTCATGTATAGGTATTATATAGATATACAGTGTTCTGTTCTTCATTTAGCTATCTGAGCAACATTAATATATATGTGTAGTTCTAAATCCTTCTTCTTGCCTTGTAAATTAGTTCTGAAAATTTATTCACAATTATATGCTGATAACAGAGCTGCAGATTGCATGGACGTCTCTCGAGTCATGAGAACTGCATTGCTTGTGAAAGTAGAATACTGATAACAGAATTGAGAATTTGATACACTTGCATACAGGCAACGTGAGGTTTTGCACACAGGCCTGAGCTTCCAATTGAAGTAGAGTTTCAAAAGACAGAAATAAGAGTTGTTGTTCCTACTCTTCCTTAGTTTGTTTGCCTTTTACAGGTGAGGTGCTACTTTTATTAGCTATTGTTCTCATTAGGACTGAACCAGATACCTGTCCTAGTAACAGCAGTGAAGAAAAATATCTTCAAGTATCTGAGATGCTGAATGAAATAATGGGGAAAAAACAGTTTAGTGTCCTGGACATATTTCATCCACTGCAGTGAAAATTATGCAATATCAGTAATATTATAACACTATGATAACCTACATACATAACTATAAAATTGCCTTCAGATGATGGAGACTAAAATGGTGCAATATTGCATTGAATTTATTATTATATCACAAAAGAAAGCATCTGATCAATATTAATTTACATAGAAAAAGTGTAGTAATTAATATATATTGTCAAAAATGGGTTAGAATTGCTGGTTAAAATTATGTGATAAACAGTGACTGCATGTGCAAGTGTTTGTATATGCATGTATGCCTATTTATGTCTCATTATATTTCATAAGTGCTGGTAGCAGTACATAGAATTATTGAGTAGACCTTCAAAAGGAATATTTCAAACATTTCCTTGTAGCAAATCAATAGAACAGAAGAAACACTGGTTTATTTTATTTTGATTGGTCTTGTTTGGTGTTTGTTTTTTGTTTTTTGTGGGGGTTTTTTTGCTTCTTTTTGTTTTATAAATGCATGTGAATCTGAACAATTATCTATTTTCTACAAAAAAAAAAAAATTGTACTAAAATTCTTCAGAGCTAAACATTACTCACTGATTCTGTTTACAAATGAAGGACTTTTTAAAAGTCTTTTTAGAGCTCTAAAGTGTTTTTAGCCTCTAGCTCTCATTGACTTAGATAAATTCATATTGGAGTTCAGAGGCTAATTTATGTGACTGTTTGAAAACAAATTTAGGTCAAATCCCGTTTCTGTAGAAGCATCCATTATCTCTGCCATTAACTCCGGGAGTTCTTTATTTTTGCAGCCTCTGCTTTTTAACTGACAATTTTTTCAGGGTGAGTCATCCACCTGAAAGTATGATGATGCCAAATAAAATGCTTTCTTTAAACGAAATAGGATACTTAGTTCATCCACTGCAAATAAGTTCTGTAGAAATCTAGCATTTGGTGACGTATTTTCTTTACTTTTTTCAGGGGAATTCTGGCCTGGGATTCAGTATTGCTGGAGGAACAGATAACCCACACATTGGGGATGATCCTGGGATATTCATTACTAAGATTATACCAGGAGGAGCTGCAGCAGAGGATGGAAGACTCAGGTAAAATTTAACTCCCTACAGATGTTTAGAAACAAAATACAGTGCTATTATAGATTGTCCTCTTGGAGTCAAGTGTGAACTGTCTTTCATGGAGCCAGAGGGACTAAATGATATGACAAGTTTCCTTTCTGCAAAGATAGAAAAACTGTTTTAAGTAGTGTAAAGCAATTGAATACGTTTAGTTAAGACCTGTATAAAGGGAGGTATGTTGGTTCTACCTCCGGCTTTGTACCAATCATTTCAATTAGTACTACTAGAGATACAAAGGAGGAGGAAAAAGACATTAGCAGCAAGGAAGTCTTGATCATTATATTTTCTTGACTGAACAACTATGTACTGTTGTTATTTATTAAGACAACCAACAGTTCCCAAACTACAGAGACATTCCTAAATAGCTACAGCTCTTTGTAGAGTTATTTGCTCCCTATTGCTTGACTGTGATGGTGAAGTATGCTTAATCTGCATTTCCAAATTATTATTTTAATTTTTATTTTTTTCCATCTGTGCAAACGTGACAGATATGACTATGACTATGTTCTTTTGAGTCACCTCCAGAAGATGAGGATTCTTGGAGGTTACTTGGAATTTGTGGTTCTCAAATGCACTGTAGCACTTCTCTTAAAACAAGAGGTACCGCAGAATTGTTGATTCTTCCCTTTCTTATGGATTTAATACGGAAAAGGTTCTGACTATCACAGACACTGCCATTCATCTGTCAGTTGTGAAGCCTGCTGATGCTCCAAAAAGACAATTTAACTGGAAAGACGTGGGATACAATTTTGAAGCTTTTATGATCTCAGCACTGCAACCTAAGCTATGGGAGCCTTTGCCAAAAGCAGATGGCCGAAAATTCACAAAATATGACCAGATGGTAACAATAACATTTTTTGCAAAAGCCTCGTCTTTTAATTCAAAGATAAAAGTATGGGGCGTTGATCAGTTTTAGAGCAAATGGTGAATATTTCTTTTTTGAAAATAATATTATTTTTACTAATATAATGATGAGGAGTCAAGGTGTTTGGTAGAGCTTGAAGAGTTTATGATCTAAATAAGAGGAAAGGAAGAGGAATAATCTCATGTAACTTTGTGACTGAAGTGCAGCAATCTATCTCTAAGATGGTCACCTTGGAATTCCCTAGCAGTCAGTGAAGACAAACCTAGTAATTTCTATGTCATGATTCATCTTTTCCTAAAGTGAATGTCTAAAACAGTAGTGTTTGGAAATCAAATTTGACATGATGAGGTACATAGGATGTGCTAAACCTTACTACAAACAAGAAAGAATCTTTTGCAACAACAACAAAAAAATCTTTATTAATAGAGTTTTTAATTACTTTTGAAAGCTTTTCTGGTTTAAGTTATTAAGAAGACATGCATCACTGCATTTATTTTTCTTACTATCCTTATATGAAATCAAGTACATTGTGATTCATTGCTATGCTAATTAACTACTGTAAATTTAACTCATGATTATTTGGTAATTACTGTGTTGTAAAAGTCTTAAGAAGACCTTCTAAATTCACAAAAGATGTACTAATGCAATTCATTAATCCATATTAGGATTAGAACTGGGAAGCTTTGTATTTTGCAATAGAAGTTTATCTTATTACTGAGACTTTAGTAATCGTCTCAGGATACAGTATTTCTTTTGCACATTTTGAAGTAAAATGTTATAATTCAAATTTAACTGCAGTAATAAAAATAATTGTAAAACATATATTTTAATGTAGTACTTTTTTGCTCTTCTTCTTTGAAAACAGAGTTTCTTTACATCAAATTCCTCTTTTGTTAGTAAGGAATATCCAGACGCAATTATTTATAATTGGATCAGTAGAACATTTTTTTTAGTTCAAAGAAAACTTCAAGCATCTCAAAATATATCTCAGTAAACTGCCATTAGGGAAATGGATTTACTTAATCCTGTGGGTTTTACACACAGTAGTAAGAAAATCTCAATGTTTAGCTGAATATCACATGGTAAGAATTTATATAGAGAGTATTTTGAATTTCTTCTTGGTAACTGTATCCTCCTTAGCACTCAAAGGATTTTATTTCCTGTCTCAGTTTTCTTTGAGCTCTTATAAAATTTTTTAGTACGTGGGAATTTGCATTAACCTATCTTTCCCACTATTATAGTTAAATGCGAGCTACTTGGTTACACCGTTAGATAACATTGCTCTTTCAGAATTTTACCTAATGAAAGGGCAGAAGTCATTCAAAAATCTCATTGTGACTTCAAGAAAAATTTTCAATATGGAATGCAAGACAGCAACTTCCATAGTGGCCTTGATTGGGATGGTTGATGGTTGGAATAGAAGATCTTTGAGGTCTTAATGATTCTATGATTTTATCACATAAACAAGCTTGAAAGGTTTTCAGAAGTGAGATTTTATTTTACAGGATTCTCCTAGAAGTTTCCCCCATTCCTTGTTTTATCTGCTAAGAGGGTTTCACTTTGCTATGACACTAGCAAGGAAAAAATGCTGTCATGTTTTAAGAAACACCTGGAAGTGTATGTATCAGTGATCTTTGCCAACAAGCTTAGATATCCTGGGGTAGTCTTCACTGAGATACATGACAGTTAAGTAGTACATATCAGCAAAGACCACCCAATAGGACCATCAGCTCAGTGATGTACAGTATATCCACCAAGAAATGCGATAAGCCATATTTCTAGCAGTATCTACAACAATTCTGTAGTCCTAGGAATCTTACCTGTGATTCAAAAATCTGATTATTACTGTGTATGTGACTGTATACCAAAGAGTTTATTTACAGGAATGTGAGCTAGATTCTGACAGCTTTGAATTTAAATGGTTAACGTCCAAAGTTTATTTTGGTACTTGAGCTTGAGCTGCACTCAGTAGGAAAGAGGGTTGATGTGAAAAGTGAGTCAAAAGGAAGAAAGTGGTTGTGCCTGAAGGCACACTGCCCTGGTAAGCTGCCTGGACCTGTAGCTACTTCATTCATTCTTTCTTCTAGGAAACTGGTTTCAAGTCTCTTCCCACTTGTGAACCTATCAACCTTATTTTCTTGGGAGTATGATTATTTGTAAGGAGAACTTACTGAACCACACTGAATAAACTGCATCTACTGCCAGTTACCTTTGGCAGGCTAATTAGAAACAGCACATGTGCCCCAGCCATCAGGATTTTACAGCTTAAAACTATTAAAGTTCTGCAGCGTTTTTCTTTCCTTTGCAAATGTGTCTTTCCTGATATTACTTTACTGGTGGTCAGCAACTTTAGGGTTATGTAACTGCAGCATTTTTAAGGCATGCTGCCTTGTTCTACCAGCATCATAATAATCAGCCACAGTGAAGTTCTTCCCCTGCTCTCAAAGTGATCCGGTGTTGAAAAAGGAACATAACACACATGCTAATTGGAGGAGACAAGAGTCTAAATAACTTGCCCTTGTTATCTAGTAAATCAGGCAGAAAGCTTGGAATAGAATAGTGATTCCCTCTCTCCTATTTCTGTGCCTTACGGGCTTAGTTAAATGCCTACCAGCAAAGGTTTTGAACAAATTAGATTTGTATTCTCTTCAGTTATCAACTAACCCACTGTGATGTGTCAAAGGATTATAAATTTACCTAGATCTATGTAGTAAGAGAGGAACTCTGATGATAAGAAGATTTCTCATGGATATCATGTTCATAAAAATAACACTGAGAAAAATGAATTTAAAGGCAAAGATTGCATTCTGATCAGACTGTTTTTTCCTTTTTAGTATTTCTGTGTCTCGCTAAAGATGAACCAGGGAGGAAATACTAGAAGTTCATTCAAAGCTTTAAAATTTGAATTAAGAAGCACACTGGTGTAGCTATTATATGCAGTTTGCCTGAGAAACTCAAAGGAAAGAAGAAATGGAGAAATGTGCCATGTCTCTACTCCAGCTCAGGGAAACTGGCTGTATTTCACCATCATTGTATCAAAACAGAAGTCTGTCTGCTCTGTGATTCACTGCTTAAATTCCTGTTTGTTAACTTTTGATCTTGTACTAAGCTTATCAGTACCAGGTCTGTGTGCCTTGAAAAGGCATAAAGCTTGTTCAGGATGTTATTATAATTACTGTACTGCCACAAAACACTGATTCAAATCTGTACTGTTTACAGACCTCTGTCAATGCTTTTAGTTCAGTACGTAATTTAGTAGTAAGTTAATAAAGAGACATTCACCCTATTAGGTAAAACATGCTTGCTTTCCAGCCATAAATTACATCACAAATTATTGGCTGCTCATTCTGTCCTGGTTTGTGTTAGGAAGTTTGATCTTATTAACAGTGTTTGTCTGTGTACCTGTGCACATCGCTTTTTGAGGTACTGTGATATAAAGTAGGTAGAATTATCACAGGGAACCTGCACAAAGAAAAGGCAAGTCACAAAACAACAACTGAATTTTTATGTGTTTTTTTTAAATTGATCATTGGATACCATGACCCACATTTTAAATTATCAAGCTACACTTTTGTTCACCAATGAAATACGTTGCCATTAAATTCTCTCTTCAGCTGCTTTCACCACTTCACATTTCTTTTGTTAAATCTTTTTTCTTCTTTTTCTCTACATGCAGATAGCATTCCTTATTTTGGTACTGCAGACCCCATTGTGTTGGTGAATTTGATTGTACTTCTGCTTTTTCTACTTTGAAAATAATTTGATAGCCTGCTAAAAGAATCTCTTATACTGTGTAGGGAAGAAATGGGAAATAATGTTTTGACAGATAAATTCTGAGGTAAATGAAATAGAATTTAAAGGGGAGAAAAGCCATGTTTTTTCTCTGTCTTGTCGGCTTTGAAACTGATGAATTTTAGTGGCCTCTCTGTAGATTATAATGATGGACATTCCTGAAGTTTTTTTTGTTTTGTTTTGTTTTTACTTCTATTTTTAATGCACAGGATTAATTTCTGCCCAAGTAAGTTTCTGAACTGTCTCCCACTAACTGAAACCACTGTTTGTGAATAACAAAAAGCAAAGTAGCACAACATAAGGACTTTAGGTA